TATAATCCCAGCTACTCGGGAGGCTGAAGCAGGAGAATCACTTGGACCTGGGAGGCAGAGGTTGCAGTGAGCCGAGATCACCCTACTACACTCCAGCCTGGGCAACAGATAGAAACAATGAAAAACAGCAGTGTTTCAAGCCACATAATTTTGCCATAATTGTGGGCTAGCCTGGGCACCTCACACATTTGATATAGCATTGTATCTAGAAAGGAAGCGTCTAGCGGGAGCAAGTCACTTGGAGATGCTGAGAACAGATCCCCCTCCCCTGCCCCTCACCAACCCCGGCCCTCCCAACCCAGCTGCAGCTGCCAGAAACTAAGAGGGCCTGGGCAGCTCACAGGCAGCCTGAGGACACAGGGGTCCCTATCGGAGACAATGACCTTCCTGTCTTTGAGATTCTTAGGGTCAGGCTCCAGCCCTGAGCCACATTCTCTTGATTCTTAAAATATTCTTAAGAAGCAAAAAATAATATTCACAACTTATAGATGAAGACAATGAGGTCCGTAGAGAATGATCAGAGCCCGGGAGAGACAGGACGCCTGGCCATGGCTGCACTTGTGTTTTGCATGTGGACACACTCATGCAGCCTTCAGCTGTGGGAGGAGGTGACTCCCTTCGTGTGAACAGCCTGAGGTGGGAGGGGTTACACAGCGTCATAAGGGCCTGACAGGGGCTTAGAGATCAAGCCCTTTTATTTTACAGCAGAGAAGCAGAGGGTTGATCACATGGCTGGTGGGTGGGTGGCGGGGGTTTCTGACTCCCAGCTCACTGCTCATTCCGCTCCTCCACATGACTCTGTTGTTAGCTAAAGAGTTTCTCCTGAATTATGAATGAGTGAAAGGAAATTATGTACGTATGGATGTGCTCACGGGCATGTGTAAGGCAGAGGGAGAGTCACAGAGAGTATGCAAGTACCTGTGCTGTGAAAATCGGGATTGCTTTGAAACACTGACTCATAGTCATCCTAGCTCTGGTAAAGGTGAGTTCAGCTTTAGAAACAAGCATATTTAATCCATTCATAACTGAGTTTCACTTTTCACATGCCTCTGGCAGCCCCCAGGGAATGACAAAACCAGGCACAATGTCCTCCTGGTTAGAGAACTCTGCCTGCTCACCAAGTTGTCTGGCCAGTACTTCTTGGCATGCTCTGTCTGCTTAGGAGCAAGACTTTTCCACATCCATCATGTCTTACTGTTGACCTATCACATCTGCCTGCCCCAGCTGCAGCAGGCTCCACCCGTCTGTCTTCCTGACACCTTCACCACAGCTAGAGAGGGAGTGGCTAGTGTATTTATCATTTTTGTGAGCACAGACCACTGTGAGGCTCTGCAAACCTGCCACTGGAAAGTTCCATTTGTCTTCCTTTCTAAAGCAAATCTATGTGCTTTGGATCAGGAGCAGCTCCCAAGGTGTGACTTAGGCTACCTGCTGCCCTCTGTCTTGTATGACTAAAAGGTCCCCTAAGAAACACGCCCGAGCCAGGCCCCTGCTGCCTCTGCTCCATCCCGGAAAAGTGAAAAGTGCCCACAGCAAGCACCAGGTACCAGGAACAGAGCCCACTTTGCCATCTCACTTATCTCTTTCCTTCCACAGCAATTGCCCCGAGAGCCTCCTCCTTAATGACAAACCAGCCACCTGGCTCAGCCCTTCAACACTGTTTTTGGAGGTCCCTGACCTAGCTCAAAGGACTGTAGGTTCCTGTGAATGATCCTGTTAATTGGTCTGGGTTTTCCTCCCCTTCCTGTCAAATGCAGGAAATTAGATTTGACCTCTGCTCTGATCACTCTAAAATTATTCTTGGCACTGAAGACTTCCAGCCTTTGTAATCAGAGCATCTATTATCACCCTGATTAACGCCGATGTTCTGATGGGGCGGGATCCAAAGGCAGTGTGATTTCCGTGATTCCTCGTCCCCATGTTGAGTGCAGATGTCTTTAAATGGAGTGAAATCATCTTTAATAAGCATGGATCAGCATTCAGATGGCTCCAGGGTGCATTAACAGATTCCCAGAAAAATGCCCCGTGCCAAACCACCTTATGGGACCCTTCCAGGTCCCACAAGGAAGAGGCAGGGAAAATCTCAAAGTCAATCCAATTCTCAGCCAAACCATTATGTGTTTAGGACAGACACAGAAATGTGATGCTGTATTTTCCTCAGTGCTAATGGAGCAGCATGCACGTCTCAGGCACATTAAAAAGAGGAAGGAGACAGAGACAGCAGAAAGCCACTGTGCCCTGAGATCTAAAGAAGGGAAATCAAGTGAAGGCTTCTCAACTTCTAACTAGAATTCTGTAGGAAAGCTGCTTCATTGTTCAGAGCCTTGACTTTTTTCCAGCCTTAAAATACAAGTAAAGATTACACACACGGGCTTTTGTATAAGTTACCTAGACTGTGTCTACGGAGTATATTGATTCATCTCACATTTATCAAGCCCATATTTATAAACACAGTCATGCATCACTCAATGGGATACATTCTGGGAAATGCAGCCTTAGGTGATTTCGATGTTGTGTGAAAATCATAGGTTGTACTTGCACAAACCTAGATGGCATAGTCTACTATACACCTAGGCAGTGTGGCATAGCCTATTGCTTTTAGGCTACAAACCTGTACAGCATGCTACTGTACTGAATACTGTAGGAAATTGTAGCACAAATCACTAGGCAATAGGAACTAGAATCATTATCATCTTATGGGACCACCGTCCTTAGGCGGTACATGACTGTATATGTACTCTGAGCCATGGAGGAGTCAATGATTATAACCCCTGTCATGAGAGGATCACATTTGTATTTTTCACCAAACACTTCACCCAGCACGTGGTACAGAGAAGGTGCTCAGTTAATGTTTGTGGAGTGAGTGGGAGGAATCCTTAGGAAATTAAAATCTAACTAGAGGTTATAGAGAAGTTCATAAATAATTGTACTACAAAGCAGAATGTGAAAGCACATTAAGAGACAGATGAACAAATAAAGATGTAGGAATTAAGGGGTAGGAGGCTGGGTGCTGTGGCTCACACCTGTAATCCCAGCACTTTGGGAGGCCAAGATGGGTGGATCACCTGAGGTCAGGAGTTCCCAGCCAGCCTGACCAACACGGTGAAACCCCATCTCCACTAAAATACAGGAATTAGCTGGGCGTGGTGGTGGGCGCCTCTAATCTCAGCTCCTCAGGAGGCTGAGGCAGGAGAATCGCTTGAACCCGGGAGGTGGAGGTTGTAGTGAGCAGAGATCGCGCCACTGCACTCCAGCCTGGGCAACAAGAGTGAAACTCTGTCTCAAAAAATAAATAAATAAAATACAATAAAATAAAGGGGTAGGAAGGTGACGTGCAGGCTGCAGGAAGTACAGAACATTTCTGTTCATGAAGGCATCAGGTGGAACATGAGTGGGAAGGAGAGAGGGTAAATGCCTTCTAGGTTGAAGCCAAAGCACCAGCCACAGGCAGAGGAAGGAAGCTGGGGAGACATCCGGTCGGTCACAACAAGTGTACCCAGACAGACAGGTGGTGCACAGGAGATGAGGGCTGTGGGGAAGGGAGGGAGGCTCCTGCCCTTGGTGGAGCACTTGACATAGGTCAGACTCGGGGCAGGGCAGTATCCCATCTCTGTCCACACACCTGCCCCTCCAGGTAGAAAGCACGGCCATTTCACACATGAGCTACATCCTGGTCCAATCACCAGCAAGCGGCAACTCCAGGATCTGTCCCTAGGTCTCTCTGGCACCAAAGCTCTTCTCCCCCTCCATTAAGAAAGAAAAACATTATTAAGACCAAGAGAGCCCTTGACCTTGAGGTAGAATAAGGACTCAGTGTGTTGGTAAGGGGGACCCATGGAGAGATGGGTCTTAGGGAGAACATGAGGCAGTGGTAGTTGTAGGCAGTAGGAAGAACAGGGCATGGCCCAAAAATACCCATTAGGAACCCATGGCAGGGGGTTAGGTGGCAGGCTCTGGGACTGGGATAGCAGGGTTGGAAGAGAGGACACCAGCATCAGAGGCATTCTCCCAAGAGCTTCGGAATAATTAAATGTGGGAAGCACAAAAAGGGGAGGAGGAAGAGGTAGGTTCCCCAAATGGGGGAGATAGGAAGAGGAGCTGGCTGTAGGGAAAGAGGATTAATTAGTTCGGGACATACACACACAAAAATCAACCCGTAAGTATTGCCAGCCATTGAATTCATTGCTCTCTTCCTCCTTCACTGCCCTGAGCCTTTTCACCTGCTGCATGGGAAATACCCTATGCAACCATTTCCCAGGGACCAGCTATGAACCAGGCACAGATTAGGCCCTTTGTGGCCAGGGAGTTCGCAGTGCAGCAGGGGAGACCCAGGCAAATGCTCTGACAGCCCCAGAGGGCCATGCAAGGACTCAGTGTGTACCTGAGGCCGTGAGTGAGGGGACATCCTCTTTCTGCATGTGTGGCCAGGGATGGCTCTGAGGATGCTGCCGCAGACTTGCATTCTGCAGAGACCGTGAACGAGAACCAAAAGCTACCTCGATTCTGCCATGCCTCTATCATCTCAGTGTGAAGGCCAAGGAGGCAGAAAGGACCCCAAGTCACTGGCCTCACTGATGTGACGAGGCTCATCTGGACACTCATCTTAGCACACTTGCCCTGGTCACCAGGTACCCAGGCTCAGGAGGCCCTGGGCCCGCTGAGAGAGAACTGAGCGGGAGAGTCTTGAAAACTCCAACTCGGGTGGGAATTCCAGCCTATTGAAGGGAATCCACTGTCTCGCGCTTCTTCTCCTGGGAGAGCAGTGAGCTTTGGCATAGATGGGGAGGGTAATGTATCTAGGAGTGGCCTTCTGTGCTCTGGGCTGCTGATAGAGCTGCCACTCACAGTCTTTCCCTGTGACAAGAGGTCACTTGGGTCAGCTCCTTGGACTCATGGGCACTGAGGACCCCCCTTCCAGGCTAGGTGGGGGCAGGCAGCACCAGGTAGGTGCCCGGCCCTGTCCCACTGGCTCACGGTCTCCCTCTCTGTACCTCATCCAGCCTCAAGCCCTTCTCAGGATGCGCAGGATGCCAGGCGGCCACGGAGCAGGAACCCCTCTGCCTGGACGGTGGAGGACGTGGTGTGGTTTGTGAAGGACGCCGACCCGCAGGCTCTGGGGCCTCACGTGGAGCTCTTCAGAAAGCACGTATGCGAGTGGTGGGTTTGACCTTGGGGGGATTGGGGGAGCAGGCATGGAAGGAGAGTGAGGTTCAGGGAGCTGCGGGATGCTGCCAGGGGAGGTGTGGGGGGAGCTCTAAACTAAGCCCTAGGGGCACCCTCAAGGGAGCCAGAGATGAGAGGGACAGGTACAACCACAGGCTCCTCAGAGCAGAACGACCACTTAATTTGTTTTTAAAGGAATATTTGCCCCATCTGTTCTCTCATGTTGGCCTTCATCAGGAGTGCCTGCTTCCTGCCCATCCAGCCGTCTGTGCATACAACAAATATTGACAGCACACCTACGACATAGCAGGCAAACCGTAGTAGTGCCTGTTCCTAAACCACTTCAAGGATTAAACAAGAAAATGCACAAAAGGTGTTCAGCACGGTTCCTGGCTCAGACAGCCTTCACTGAGCAGAGAGCATTATGATGATTTTGAGATATGCTAAAATATAGAGAGATGGTAATTTTTTTTTAAAGATAAGAATCAGTAATTTACCTGCTAGGCTTACTATACTCATTTTGTTTTTGTTTGAGACGGAGTCTCACTCTGTCACTCAGGCCGGAATGCAGTGGTGCGATCTCAATCTTGGCTCACTGCAGCCTCTGCCTCCCCAGTTCAAGCAATTCTTGCGCCTCAGCCTCCCAAGTAGCTGGGATTACAGGTGCCCACCACCATGCCCGGCTAATATTTGTATTTTTAGTCGAGACAGGGTTTCACCATATTGGCCAGGCTGGTCTCATCCCAAAGTGCTGGGATGACAGGCGTGAGCCGCCGCGCCTGGTACTGTACTCATTTTGTATCGTGCTGTAACAGATTACCACCAGCATAGTGGCCTCACACAATCCACCTTCTCTGTCTAACCGCTCTGGGGTTCAGGAGCCTGGCATGGGTCTCACTGGGCTCAACCAGCAAGGCTGCCTTTCCTTCTGGAGGTTCTAGGAGAATCCGCTTGGTTGTCTTTTCCAGCTTCTAGATCCACCATCAGTCCTTGGCTCCTGTCCCCCTGCCATCATCTTTAAAGCCTGTAACATCAAGCTGAGGCCTGTTTGGCTGCTCGGGCTGCCATCCCTGGTTGTCGCTGCTGATGTCCTCTTCCACGTTTAAGGAGTTTTGTGATTACACGGCCGCCCCCTCCCCACCCACCCGACCCCATAATCCAGGATAATCTCCCTGCTTTAAAGTCAACTAATTAGCAAGCTTAATCCCACCTGCAACCTTAATTCCCCTTTGCCGTCTACCTTGACATTCACAGGTTTGGGGACTAGAATCCAGACATCGTGCATGGAGGGGAAGGAGCGTTATTCCGCCTTCCACAGTGACCATTATTTTTGTTTCCTGTTTCTCACTTTATTTGGTGATTCTGTCATAGAAATCTTGCTCTCCGATCTGAGGAGGATTCTCATCTAACTCAGCACTCGTCTTTTATTAGGCATATGTTGGCCTCACCTAACAATGGGGCCTTGAGACCAGGAACCACAGAGTGGGTTTTGCTTGGACAGATTTGGGCCGGGGGAGTCTGGCTGTCTTCCAGGGTGGGAGGAGACGGTGGGAGTCCAAGAGGTGAGGGAAATAAAAGACAGTAGAAAATGAGGCTCCTGGGAGCAACCCACAGGTAAGCCTTGCCCACTGCCATGTTGCCAAAGACATGGAGAGTGAGTGACACAGAGTGGGTGCTCCATCAATACTGGTTGGCTGGGCAGATGAATGAGAGGGCTGGTGACCCTGGCACTGTTACATGAGTCCTGTAACTATGTCTCTTCTCCCCACCTGAGCACCTCAAATTTCTACCCTTTGTCTCCAGTGACCTGAAAATAGCACTAAAGGTGACCATGGAAGCCCAGGCTTGCTAGGTTCATGAACTCAGCATGCATTCTGGAGGGTGACCATTTTCAATGACCAATGGCAGCAGCACTGGGACCAAACCGCAAAGGACTGGCTCATCCCCTTAGTAGTTCTTTGTGCTGAACCCTGAGATGAAGCAGGTGCATTCTTTAGTGTATTCTGTCTAGTGGAACAGACAGGGCTAAACACATCTGAAATCCTCCATTGGGTGGAATGAGTAGTTTTGTCATCAGCTAAAGGTAGGTGGGCCTACCAAGAAAAGAAATGAGAAATTAGGGCAATAGGGGGAGGTTTGGAATGGAAAGACCCTCTAGTTTCAGTGTCTAATGGATGACACTTCTTGCCCCTTTAGCCAAGGTTGGATGAGGAGATAAACTTCTTAAGTGGGATATTGGGAACACACATGGGGTTGTGTTTGATTCCTTCGATGAGGGGAGGGCAGGAATATGAAACATCCCGTGTATCAGATGACTACAGGGAGATGATGGGGAGAGGAGAACACAGTATTTGTTTGCTTTAATATTTTAAAAGATCTTGCCCCAGGACCAAGACAATATGCTGCCTAAATCAATCCATATGCCCTGAGCACATCCCCTGACCATACCTTAACCTTAGCCACTGTTTGATGACTCTGACCAGCTTCTGGGTTTTCTTTCTTCTGATCCTATCCCACCAGGAGATTGATGGCAACGCTCTGCTGTTGCTGAAGAGTGACATGGTCATGAAGTACCTGGGCCTGAAGCTGGGACCCGCACTAAAACTCTGCTACCACATTGACAAACTGAAGCAAGCCAAGTTCTGACTTTTTAAAAAAGACAGAAACGAAACCCAAAACAACAGATCTCAAGATTATCTTCTGCCTTACCAACATCCCACCAACATCACAAAATAGACTCTCCTCTTAAAATTAACAGCCACAAAGACGTGTTCTTTTTATAAAACTTGTGAATCTTTGCCTTTTAAAGAATTTAACGTGGACCTTTTTGAAAGGCTCCTCTGTGTTAATAATTTGCCAAAAAATTACAAAAGCCTCTGATTTTTAACATTCCTGTTATGCTGATTTCTCTTAAAGTGGGTCCTATTTGCATAACAAAAGAGTGGGGAACTGAATGCTTATGTCCAAGGAAAGTTCTGGAGGGTTCAAAGGATGAAAGAAGGACCTTTGTCCCTGCAGTCTCCGCAGGGACACCCACCTCAGCACCATCTGCCTCTAACTCTGACCTGGGGACCTATCCGTGTGAGCCTTGTTTGCCTCAGCTCTGGAAGCTGACTTCTGAAGATGACTGCCTCACCTTGCACTATGTGGAAAACTTGAATTATTTTGCTCCATGAAAGAAAAGGAAAAAAAAAAAATCTTTTCTATTCCTAGAAAATCTGAAGTACTGTGTTGCTCCGCTAGAGGGCAGACTGCTAATGAAATTTCAGGACCCTTACTGACTGCAGTAGCAAGATTATTCAGTACTGAGTGGATGGGTTACGGTGTCTGTGAACAAGATCTAGCCCACACAGAAACAGGGGATTTATTCCACAGTTAGCACCACAGATTGCGACTTGGGAAGAAACCATCAGCTAGAGGGGTCTAGTTCGTATCCAATCATTATTGACTGACTGACTGATACTCAACTAGCAAAGGCAAGAATTTGGAAGCACGCTCTACCCAGATGGGACTTTGGAGTTCCTTCTCTTCCAGAGTCCTCATTGAGGTGTTGAAGTGTTGGCATGCCGAAGAATCTTAGTGACATTTAGCCATGGGTGTTTCTTTAAAAAAGGAAAAGAAAATGTCTCAACGAAGCTTTGAAATGGGAGAGTGTTGATTTCTAGTTACATTGCTGGGTTATGTAGTTGTATCTGTGGCTAATTTTTCTAGTCCTCAACAAATACACAGACATGCTATTATGGGGTTTAATTCAATTTACAGATAGGTTTTCCTTCCTCACCGTGGAGTAATAGAAAAAATTGATTTTCTGCCCCTTTGCAGCTGTGTCCAGAGAAGGACAATGAATCCACAATTTATTAGGCAGAGGGACAACTTCTCCACCATTCATTTTATCCTTCCCTTTTCTCTGTTTCCCTCCCTGTCTCTTCTTCTTCTTCACACTGAGCAGAAAACATATCTTCAAAATGAATTCACCTTTGCCATGTGCATAATCTCTTCCTTAAAAGGACATCAACAGTGTCGGAGATGAGGAGATGAACATTAGATTTTGGAATTTCTGGGAGGGAGAGGGTTAGGGATGACTCAGGGCCTCTTGGCCCAATGGTGAATCAGAAAAGGCACCCCTTTCTCTGGAATACAACCTGAGCAGGGGTCTCAGTTAGCAAGTGGAGCAGGGTTGGAGCTCAACCTCCTCACCCCTTGATCAGCTGCCATTGTGCAGAACATGAATTGCATAACCTTGAGGGCAGCCCTGGGTAGATCTGCATAGTGACCCTCTATATAGTTAGAATCCAGATGAAGGCCATAAGAATTCGTCCATGTCATGCCGTTAGACCCGCTTTGATGTGCTGTATTTGAGAAAGCACATCGTAGCCTCCTTTTCAGAAACACAAATGGTGGCTGGACTGAGAGCATAGCAGAGAAGGGGAGGAGGAGAATGTACTAAACTTGCTCACTGAATTGAGCTAGAGTGTGGAAGAGCTTGATGTCTGATGGTTTTGTTACAGGAAGGGGTTCCTGATCCAGACCTCAAGAAAGGGCGCTTGGATCTCATGCAAGAAAGAATTCAGGGCGTGTCCATAGAGTAAAGTGAAAGCAAGTTTATTAAGAAAGTAAAGGAATGAAAGAATGACTACCCCATAGTCAGAGCAGCTCTGAGGGCTGCCAGTTGCCCATTTTTATGATTATTTCTTGATACTATGCTAAACAAGGGGGGATTATTCATGCCTCCTCCTTTTAGATCATATAGGGTAACTTCCTGACATTGCCATGACATTTGTAAACTGTCACGGCACTGGTGGGAGTATAGCAGTGAGGACAACCAGAGGTCACTCTCGTTGCCATCTTGGTTTTGGTGGGTTTTAGCCAACTTCTTTACTGCAGCCTGTTTTATCAGAAGGTCTTTATGACCTGTATCTTGTGCTGACCTCCTGTCTCATCCTGTGACTCAGAATGCCTTCGCCATCTGGGAATGCAGCCCAGTAAGTCTCAGCCTCATTTTACCCAGCTCCTGTTCAAGATGGAGTTGCTCTGGTTCAAACGCCTCTGACAGGTTCAGCACCTGAGAAAAGTACCTTGAATCAGGCGTTGGGGCAGAGTCTTCAAGATTTTAAGGTGATAGGTCCTGTCTCTCAAGAGTTTATTAATCGTAAGTACTCACTGCTGGTCTAGGGTTAGATACATTTCCCTCAAAACAGCCAGGGACAGGTTATGTATTCAGAACTGCCAGTGCGAGAACAATGAGATCCAGAAAAATCCCACAAAAACCCAGGTTTTTCACTCATCTTTTTTTTCTCAATCTTCCGATACTTGTGGTACCTCTTCCGTGAACAGATACCTCATGTAGTGACTTCCAGTATTAAGTTTTCAAAACTTCCTACCCACCCTCGTCAGTGCCTGCCTCACTACAGAGTCACAAACATTGGTGCTCTCAAGTAAAAATCAGCCCCAAACAATGTCATAGAGATCCCTCGAGTAGTTTTCAGGGGAGAGATAGGTTCTCATTTCAAGTCTCGGAGAAAACTGGATCCACATTCACGTGGAACTGCTCTCACGGAGGTGCTATCTCATTTCGCATTAAACTTTAAGCAGGACAGATTGCTGAAGCCATGATATTTAAGGTTTGACTTTTTAAAAATCTCATTACTCTTAAAATAAATGCTGCCACATCAGAGAATAACCTGGGGAGGAAAATCTTCCTTGACTGCTTCTGCACTGAAATGCAATTAGCCAACTAAATTATTGTAGCAATACTGCAATTATAATTAATTTTCACCCCTCTCAAAAATCTTGTCTAACCAGGAGGCTAAATAGCTTCACAAATGTAAAACACACCAGGCCATTTCCTCTAAACAGATCTTAAAGGGTTAGGCCACGTGGGTCACCCTTGTCCAAATGAGAGCCGACTTGAGGGCCTCACACTTGTATAGATATGGTACTTGTTATTCCATTGCAGTAGCTTTGCTTCAGGTTGTAGTGAATAATGATATCGTTTTGCATAATTCCAAATTAGAGTGTGTATGTGTGTGTGCCTGTGTTCGTGCTCCAAACATTTCCAATTACACTTGTCTGTTAAACACTGAAAAAAAAAAGATCAAGAGACAATTCTATTGCCTAAAGCCTTTTAAATATTTCATGAATCACATTATTCCCTGTGCGAAGACTTTAGGTGAAAGCCGTGGGTCTTGTCCGTGTGTGTGTGTGTGTGTGTGTTTCCTGACACTGTAGTTGGAAGAGCCTTAGGAAGTGAGTGCTTGGGAGTGTACGAGCCATTGCCTTTGCTTGGTTTGCAATACGGAGGCAGAACCCACTGTGGTCTGGTTGCTACTACTAAGTGTCCCCTCTTATTCTACTAGGGTATGCCCTTGAGGAAGCCGGGTGACCAGGGCTGCTCTGGGACTCTGGGCCTGCCCCCTCAGGAGGATGATTGTATGTGCCAAGCCTGGGCTCCAGGTGACTCTGGGGAAACGCCTTGCTGGGGAGCCCACGGCAGGGAACAATTGTCTTGTGGGCATTTAGCACCTACCAGAGAGTACACGGAGCTCCCAACATTTCCCTGCAGCAGGGCTGCTACCAACTATATTAAATACATTGGGAAGGAATATGGGACTAGGGCTGGTTTACTGGAGAAGGAAACCAGTGAGAGAGGGAGGCCTACACCATAAGTTTCTTAGGAAAACAATGAAAGCAGCGATTCTAACAGCCCCAACTCTTCATGCTGCAATAACCTATTTTTGTATCTATGTGCTGTATGGAATATTTCTTATTTTTTTTAATTAAAATTCTTTTAAAATTATTTTTGAGATGGTTTTAGGAGAATTTTGTCAAATCTCTGAAGATAATTGGAGATGCCCATAGGTGACCAGGGACTGAAATTTAGTCATTGTCAGAAGGTCTCGAAAGATGGAAATATTCTGCTCTTGTTCTAAAGAGACAGCCAGGTTTTCATATGTGTAATCCGTCAGCAGGCACCATCTGACTTCTGCTCTGAAGGGGTCACTTCTCAGCTCTTCTCCACTGGAGATAGAGGGGAAGGGGATTGGACTCACTTTTTTAAAAAACCTCAGATAACAAGACATGGAATTGTGAAAGAGTAGGTGATTTTTTAAAAAATTGCAATCTTTTTTTAAGGAGAGGGGTGCAAACCTGTCCATGGGTCTGATTTTTTTTTTTTTTATCATAAACATTCTAAGAACTGAGCACCTGCCGGGCTCTCCTGTTGCCTTGCCCTGTGCCCCATCCCTCCCCTGTGGCATGAGAGGGCCACACTGAGAACACTGGGGATGGTCCAGCAGGTGGTCAGACATGCAGGAGAACAAACCTTCTTGTTTCCATTCTGTGATGTCAAACCCAGCAGCATCACCCGCCTCCACCTGCAGGCAGCTCCTGTGTGTCCCGCCCTGCTCCTGCAGGAAGAGCGCTGGGCACCTCAGCTTCTGGGGTGTTATCCACTCTGACGGTTATCCTAATCCAAGATGATCCCTGCACAGACAATTGGAAGCTGGATTTTTGGAAATCTAGCATTTGCTTGAAAGAGAATCGCTGTTATTTACTGCCACCAGATAAGGATAATGAAAACAAGTCTGCTAACAATAGATTTGGTGTAATGGTTCTAATGCTAATAAGCAACTGCTGGGACACTTCCCATGGTAAATTCCTTTGTGGTTTCGGTGGTGTTATCACACATGGGCCTCACCAAGATGCCGGCCTGGAGAGAACACTCGCTGCGACTCTCCCAGGCTTCAGGAAATGTTCTGGGCAAAACACACTTTTAGAGGAGGATTTGCTTTTCTTCACTGTGCTTTCACAAGACAGGCCCCAGATCTGCGCTCTTAAAATCCTACATAAGGAGCCTGGAGGTTCTCCCCATGCTTAGCATTGGGCTCGATTTCCTGCAGAGGAAAAGATGGCAGGTAGAGCCACGGGTGATTAAACAGTGATGCCAGACAGTGTGGGGCCAGCAGCATCTTTCCATTTGAAGGGTCTACATATACCACACAGACCACCTATACCTCAGCTGTCTTCCCACCCTACCCTGCTCTGGGGCTTGACCACATGGTCTGAACCTTAGAGTCAGTTCCATGCACTAGGCGCTTGCACAGGCCAACATCAACCTCTTCTGTTGGCTTCAACTTTGGAATACACCCGAAGCCTTGCTTCTCTAAACAGCTCATTACAAAATAATGGCGCCTCACTAGGTGTGGCTTTACAGCAATGATGTATGACCGAAGGCTACCTCTACCATAAATGTAGCATCCTCAACTACATTCTTTTTAAAGTGTTGTTGGAAACCCATCATCATCCCTTGAGGGTGAATTTTTTTTTCTTTTTGGAGAAAGCCAAAGCCACTGGGCTCATGCCTGGTGCATGACATGAGTAATCAGTTTCAGGTTTCAAATCATGTGTTTTCACACACATTCGTTTGTCTTTTCCTTGTGTGTTTTCTTACTTGGTACAAACAGTTTGAACAATAACAGCCACAATTCACTAGTTAACTTAAATATTTTAGGCAGGTGTTAAAATAAGGAGCAGCAATGTATGGACTATTTTGAAGGACAACAGTATTTGGATGTATAACAGTCAACATATTCATTTTAAAGTATTGTTACTGCTATATCCTTAGGCATGGTAAGCTGAGGATATTTTGAATGTCTGCAAACATACAGAGACCACCTTCACACGTAGAACCCTAGAATCCTACAGTTGGGAAAAAGAGGTCTTGGGGGACACCTGGAAAGCTCCCCTCCAGGGTAGAACCTTCTGCCCTGTGGGTTCCACATTGCTCTTTGGGGGGCAGAGCATGGTACAGTGTGCAAGAAACAAGCTCTCCAAGTCACCTCCCCCCATACCTCCATCTCCTCATCTGGAAAAGGAGGGGAGTCATCCAGATGACCTTTAAAAGCATTTCCAGCTCAGTTACTTTGGCCAAGGCCAGTGGGGCTGTGCTGCCATAGTAGTTATATGCTGTTGACTCCTCTCTCTTCTTTTTCATGTCTGCTGGTTTCTGCCTCTCCTCCTTTGCAACCGTATCTAGATATTTTTTGATCCTCTTCTCTCATGGGCCCATAACTTCTCAAGGCCATGTAAGCACCACTTGGCCATTCTTTCCCACTCGTTTTTTACTTTTCATTCTATTATTTCTTCCTGCCTCCGTGTTTTCTTGTTGGTTTGTTTTCTTTTTTGTCTTTCTCCATTCCACTAGCTCAAATCCTTTGGGGATAGAGACAGGGTAGAAAAAGAAATAAGAGTAAGCCAACTCTGTTCTCCCTAGCCCAGCGGTTCTGATTTCTGTCCAGTTGTCACCCACCCACAGTATTTCTTGACTCTGCCCCGCTTCCTGTCCAATCTCCACTTGTTCTATTTCTCAAGGTCTAACCCTCTCAGCTCGATGCCTGAGGTTGGGAATGAGAGTCTCCGCCCTTCTGAATGTTTCATTCTGTGACTCACCCTGATGTCCCACTGAGGCGCCTCTTGAATCTTCATGAAGCACAATGCCCTTCTCACTAGCTGTCCCTCTTCATTCAGCCCTGAAGCTTAAGTGACCTGGTGCCAATTCGATGTACCTCTTGAGAATCACAAGCTGCTTCTCCTGCCATCCTACAACCTGCATGGAGTCACTCTGACATCCAGCAGCAATTCAGATAATGCCAAAGTTCTTTATAGAACACAGCACTGTCCAGACCCAGTTAGCACTGACTGTACAGCCTCATGACCAAAGCCGGGCCAGAGCCTCGTGTGTAAGTGAGGAGGGTCCAACCAGCATGAAAAACGAAGGACAGTGACGACATCAGAAGCATTTCTGGGGTGTGGTATTGTTTTTGGACATTTACAAGACTACTGAGACATATGCAATATTAAGTGGCTTGTGTCTGAGTAGGGAAAGATAGTGACATATTTCCCAAAAGAAAATGTAGTTTAGAGGAAGGAGAAAGGCAGCATAGCTCTGGGGAAAAAAAAAAGTTTCCATTCCTGGCCTTTCTCCAGCACAATTGCGCACCTCGTGGTCTTTCTAGAAGTCAAACGTGTTTCCTCCTCAGGAACTGAAAGTATTTCTGTCTAAGCGTGAGAAAGTTTGAGGGACTTTGATTTATTTTATTATCCATTGTGTTCTAAGCCATATTATTTAATTTTCTGTCATCTTCTAGCTATATCTTTGATCACTTGGGGATTTAAAAAAAGAGCTCCTCTCATTTTATCCTCAAGAAAATATGAAATATCATTTGCTTTACAGAGCAAATATTTCCATGTTATAGATATCTGTTGATTAGATTATTTCTCTACTGTATATACTTAGAAGTAATTTCATTCACATAAACATTTCATATTTCAAATGCATTTGTGGATAAATTTGCTTTTCATTCTATTCACATGCAAGAAAATGAAATAAACTGATTGAATAAAATCATTTTATGATAATTGTCTTGCTGCTATTTTTTTTCACTAACAGTGAAAACTTTTTGTTACTGAAGTATGACTGTAACATCATGAAGCTTCTCCCTTCATGGGGCCAAAAGGTGTGTTTTACTAGCTACACTAGGCTGTCATTATCCAACAAGACTCCCACTAACCAATGAGGGCGCATGAGTTAGTGAAATCCGTGTTCCCAAGCTCGTGAGGTAGAATCATGATGATTGAAATGTTATGTCTTTTGTTTTGTAAGTTGACAGGTTTATTTTCAGAATCTTTCTTTCAACTCAGCCTTAGTTAATCTCATGTTTCCACCTCTTTATGCTACTTCTCTACCCCATATACCCACTTGGGAGACTTCCCGATCTCGCCCCATCTGGGAGAGTGGCAGCTGCACCTTTTCCCTGGTAAAACGTCTTACTTTATTTGCACACTATGAAACAACCAGAAACCAACGGTGCAAACAGGTCATCTCCTCATCCCGGTAAGATAGAAACAGGGTTGACTACTTTCCCTCTTCTCTACCGAGACGGTCTTTCCTCCCTTCTAATTAAGGATTTTCAGAGGGGGTGTGTGCACATGTTCATGTGTGTTTCTATGATTGGGTTTGCAAACTAAAAAGAAAGGTCATCAGTGAAAGTTTGCACGTCATTTGCTTGTGCTGAGGCACATGTGCAAGAAGGACTCGGCGTATGTACTGCAGATATTCTAATTGTATGAAAATTCATTGTGCTTTCATTTCTTATGAACGTAATGGAATCTTGGAACATTAGTTCAACTCCATGTTTTACTTGGAAGTGCTCGGGGAGAGAGAAGCTTTCAGCTTAGGAAATGGTGTCGTTTTAGGTCCTAGCTTCTTTAAAAACAAAACAAAACCAGTGGATCTAATTTTGCAGACTCGACATTAGTGAATATAGCTCATTGTAATGGCGAGTGGCGTTTACATTGGAGAGAGACAGCAGTAAACCCTGTTACCTGGGGAAAAGGCCTCTCCTTAATCTTTGCTCTTTGCAAGCATGCTGAAATCAGTGTTTCCTAATTTTGGGACAATCCTCTCACCTCAAAGTGTTCCTATGTAATTGTGTTACATAATGGGAAATTGCAATAGGCAATTTGGTTCTGTAATTCAGTTTGCAAAGCATGCAAACATAAGATAACTAGGTTAAATGCAAATCGGCATTACACTAAGGTACCGAGATAGGGAAAGAAAAAGATGCTGTGTCTATAACTTAGAAACAACATGAATTTTATTCCCCATGTGCCTCAAAATGTAGAGTTTATTAAAGTTATTTATCCTCTAGTTTAATTTCATCACATACTGTGCATACATATACATTATCTGAGTATGAACACACATGTATTCTTACTGCATATATTTACGATCTCTCATTTGTCATAAGCAGGCTGTAAGTATAGCGTGTTACTTAGGAGTGAGTTGGATGTACTTATTTTTATCATACACAGTGTTTTCATAAATTGACCATTATATATAAGACACTACATCAAAATGTGCTTTAAATCTTTCAAAGCCTGTTATTGTTTGTAACTTTTGCAGGGGGGCAATTAGTTCATTATTTAGAGGTCAATTTTTCTGTTTTTAATGTATTCTCTTAAACAGTGATTGGTATGTACACCACAGTCAGGTATGTACAATTTCATTAAACAACCACTACTGGCCTTAATGATTTTAATAGTTTGGGGTGGTTTTTGTTTGTTTGTTTTCATTTTTGATACAGTATTTTTTTCTAGTACAATGCATCATGGGCCTGGGTATGATTCAGTGAGATTTCTAAATCTTAAGATTTCAACACAATGTAGTACTTTCTGTTCATGCTGTAAAAAGTATTTCTGTATTTTCAATAAAGAATAAAATTTATGTGAGCTTGTGTATGTTTTATCTGATCAACTTCTCTATGTTGATTACTCTTTCATTAGGACTGGTTCCCATAGGTAGAGAGCAAGGATAAGCTTTTTCAAGGTGGCCCATAGACAACTGAAGCCACAGAGGCTGATTCACTGCTGCCTGGAAGGCCCCCGTCACCTGGAGACCTGCTGTACCTCAGGGCAGCCAGCCCAGGCCCCACACTGGTTCAGGAGAGAATTTTTTTTTTTTTTTTTTTTTTTTTGAGACAGGGTCTCACTCTGTCTCCCAGGCTGGAGTGCAGTGGTGCAATCACAGTTCCCTGCAGCTTCAACCTCCTGGGCTCAAGGAATCCTTGTGCCTCAGCCTCCTGAGTAGCTAGTTCTACAGGTGCACACCACCATGCCTGGCTAAGCTGTGTATTTTTTACAGAGACAAGGTTTCGCCATGTTGCCCAAGCTGGTCTCAAACTCCCGGGTTCAAGCAATCCACCCTCCTCAGCTTCCCAGAGTGCTGGGATTATAGGTGCGAGCCACTGCACTCGGCCTGGAGAGACTCATTACAGAAGTCCAGGGTTCTCTAAGAAGCTTACTCTGTTCCCCTGACCTTCCTATGATCACAAAGGGGTGGTCTGGTGCAGGCAAGAAATGTGAGATTTGATCAGAGCCCCGAGGGGAGTGTCCACCCAGGGTCATCTTGCGCCAGTCTCTCCTCTAGGGTCTCTGATACGGTTTGAAACTCTGTCCCCACCAAATCTTATGTTGAAATGTAATCCCCAGTGTCGGAGGTGGGGTCTGGTGGGAATGTTTGGGTCATGGGGGTGAATCCTTCATGAATGGATGAGCGCCATCCCCTTAGTGGTGAGTGAGTTCACACAAGATCTGATTGCTTAAAAGTGTATGGCACCTCCCGCCCTCTCTTGCTCCTGCTCCTGCTGTGTGATGTGCAAGCTCCCTCTTTACCTTCTGCCAAGAGTAGAAGCTCCCTGAGGCCTCCCCAGAAGCCGAGCAGAAGTCAGCGCCATGCTTCTGTACAGCCTGCAAAACAGTGAGCAAATTAGACCTGTTTTCTTCATAAATGACCCAGTCTCGGGTATTTCTTTATATCCATGCAAGAATGGCTAACACAGTCTCCTTCTTGGTCAGTAACCAGAGACAAGAGGGCCTCCCTTCTCTGTTAGGGAGAGGATTAAAATAAATTTCAGTGCTTGTCAAAGGCCCTCAGACAGTGTCTGCAGAATCTAGAGTCCTACTCCAGGGTAGTCTACTCCTGTTGGTTGGTTGTGGCTCTAGATTGAGGGTCACGATTCCTTCTGGATTTTGATCCAGCCCCAATCCTGACCTGCCGACTTCCTACCCAGAGGCCTCTACCCTGTCCCTAAGGCTTAGCAATGATCATTGGCAAAGGCAACACGGTTCTCAATGAAAGCAATTCAGGGGGTTAAAGGAGGTAATCCTCCCATAACCGTGTCCTCGATGGCTGGGTGAGGTCAGCAAGGAAGGCCAGTCTTGGGGAGTGTTGGGGTGCAGGCCTCCAAAGCCGTCTCTCATCATCTGCCCTTGGTTTGCTTACAACTTAATAGACTGAGAATTTTAATCTTGCTACTTGTCCCGCCTTGAACAAAATGATTTCCAAGCTCATATCCGTCCTCTCTCCCCCAGCACGGGTCCACACTGAATGACCTCTCTCATACATCCAGGAAGTCTAAGTCTCTGAGCCAACACAAGTAAATACACCTCCAAGTGCCCTCACTTACCCGGATTTAAGGGTCCCTTCTCTGAGTCTGCTCTCCTCCAGTAGTTAGACACAAGCTCTCAAAACCCAGCTTCTTTTACTAGTTTTTTCTCATCACAGTTGTACAAACAATAGTATCCTACCTATAAATGATCCAAGATGAAGAAATCCTGACATAAATGTTATATTTTTCTGTCAAATCTGAACACAGATTTGGCCACCTGAACACCTGAACACTTTCAGGCCTAGAAAAGAAGGAGAGAAGCGGCCAGGCACGGTAATTCACCTGTAATCCCAGCACTTTGGGAGGCCGAGGCAGGCAGATCATGAGGTCAAGAAATCGAGATCATCCTGGCTAACATGGTGAAACCCCATCTCTACTAAGGACACAAAAATTAGCTGGGTGTGGTGGTGCATGCCTGTAGTCTCAGCTACTCGGGAGGCTGAGGTGGGAGAATGCTCGAACCCAGGAGGCGTAGGTTGCAGTGAGCTGAGATCGTGGCATTGCACTCCAGCCTGGGCAACAGAGTGCAACTCCATCTCAAAAAAAAAAAAAAAAAAGAAAAAAAAAAGGAGGGAAGCATCTTGCCCTGGGAAAACAGTTGTGCCATGTGGATGATTAGACATCATGGAGAGACGGGATCAGCAGTTAATGAGCAGAGTGAGGCTCAAAGTTGATGTACAGGTGTGTGCACATGGGAATATGCCTATGTACGTACACTGCCCCCCTCACTCCCTGTTTCTCACAAGCCAGAAGACAGACCGGACCAGAAGCCACAAGCCCAGATTTCAGTCCTGGCTTTCTCACTGACCAGATGAGGGCTTTGGGCAAGTCAGTTCACCTTTCCAGACCCCAGGGAGTTGGACTAGACAACGTCCACGTTCCGCAGCCCCACCCTGGCCCGCTCTAATAGCCCCTGGGTCTATGGCTTAGCTGCAGAACGGGCTGTTTGTGACTAGATTCATGAACTTGAGAGTCCTGAGCTGGTGGGACTCATCAGGGCTCTGTAGGGAAGAGAGGAATTATAGGAGATATATAGCTAAGACCAAGATGACCTACCTCAGGGGTCTCTCTCCTGATTATCTAAGTAGTAAAGTATTTCTTAAGACCAGAATGGAGTTGATTTTCTTTGGCAAGTTACCGGAAAAGAGAATTTCCCACATACTATGTGAATCACTGTGAAAGAGATATTGCTCCGTTCTAGGAATTTAAAGTGCCATCACATATGTTGAGCATGGGCAGATCCTGCCTTCTGATCTCTGACTAAGAACTTCCATTCATTCTAGTGCTCAATGAACTAGCACATTTTCCCATTACCCCTTTCATTAAAAAATCATTTTTTAAGTAGAATTGCTTTTCTCCTTGAACTCTTCACCAAGGTTGATTCGATATCCATTTAGGAGTGGCTCCTAACTTATTGTTAACCTATTAGTGGAAGCAATAAAAAATACTGAAAAATGAGTGTTATTTAAATGAGAAATATCTCTGTAAAATCCCCCAGGGTTGGTGCGATGGAGAAGTGGTTCTGACAGCATCTCTGTTGATGGTTTCAGACTATCAGGTTTGGCAACAATGTTTTGTTAGCAGAAGTTAATCAGCGAATCCCATTACTTAATAAGGTTATCACTCTGAGCAAAAGCCGCAAATTACGCTCTCTTTCTCTCCAGGCTGAAGACATCATCCTTAACATTTTACATTTATAAGTAATATCTCGTTAGCAGAAACAGGGTAAACAGAAGCACATGGGAAATGCCTTTTGTGTGTAATTCAGGATGATATTTTCATTCAGAAATTTCAAAGTCATGTAAACCTGCCCCCCTGCCAAACTCCTCCATTATTTGGTGCTGGTTTGGACTATATATCCTAAAGAGGTAGGAAAACACACCTTTTTTCATCATCAGCTTCAGGAGATACCCTGTCATGGCCACCAAGAGTAAATTCGCAGGCTTGTAAAAGCCTAACTCAAGTCACCGCCAACCCTAGGTGGCTCTGCTCATCAGCCTTGTCCAGTGATTTAGGGATGGGGGGAGGGCCCCTCTCTTTTAACAAAACCATCTCCATTAACCCCTGTGATTCTCACTTGCCATTTCATCATGGAATAGTCTATGAATTTTGTCTCAACACTCTCTCACCCCTCCCGGCTCCACCCCTTGACTCATGTTTGTGTTTAAACTCCATAGCATCAGCGGCCAAATTTCCTCTGTGTGAGTTTATGCATATTCACCTATCCCTTTCCCCGTGGGGCCCAGGAACCTCCGTGAAGTCTCAGGTTTTGCTGAACTGGTTGGCGTCAGCCTTGACCTCCCACCACGATGGCACTATTGTCCCATGTGGCATAATGGTGAAAGTGTCATGCAGCGGACAGGAAGTGCTGTGGGAGCTCCTTCCAGTCCAGGGGTTGGGGCGGGGGGCGGGCAAGGGAAGCTGCTCCCTTGGTGAAAAATACAGGACAGGAGGTTCTTGGGAGAAAGGCATCTGGAAACCAGGAGGGTATGTAAGGGAGTCTTTCTAGCCGACATCACCTCCAGAGGGGCAGGGCTGTGTCTGAGCACATCCCGTGCACTCACAGCTGCGTGACCCTGCAGACCTGCTCTTCCATCTCCATCATCTCTCCAGTTCAGCAGTTGTTGCCTTTATTTTTTCTTTTTGGCTCAGAAAGCTGCAGAGGGGAGGAACTTGAGGGTATTTTTTTTTTCTGGCATGTTTTCTGTGTGCATGTACTGTCTCTACCTCATTCCAGTTGTTGATGACATTTTCCTTCCCGCCCTTTCTCTCCCCTCACCCCACCCCTCTCACCCACCCCTCCCATGCACTTTCCAGTCTGTAGCATTTTTTTAGAGCTGCATATAATTTCCCCAGGGAGAGACTCTGTGTTTTCTGGCTGACTTATTCTTTATATATTCCCAAACACTTTTCCCCTTTCGGTTGCACCTCTGTATCCTTCCTCCACTTGGCTCTTGAAGCGTTTTTTTCTTGGTGTTTTATTTCTTCCCCTTGCCTCCTCCACTCCCGCCCCCAGTGGGAACATCTCTGTGCATGTCTTACAGCCTTACATTTTCCACCAAAAAACACATTTCCAAGGGGCCTTAGTGACTTGTGAAAATTCCTTCCAAACCTGTCTCCTGGAAACAGGATGGCAGATGAAAGATTTCTTCATTAAAATTAGACACTTTAAAGAGGCATCCAGTAAAAGCTCTGAAAATCCCCAGTGGGTCTTTGTCTGCATCGTGCTGGTGTGGAAGCTAGCGGGAGGTCAGGGCTTCAGGGAAGGGCCGGGACAAAGGG